TTAAATGTTGATTTTGAGAGTTTTCAAGATCTTTTTAAACAAAATGATACTAAAGTTACTTTTCATAATTGTTCATTCAATTTTAATAGTATGAAAAATTAATAATATTAATTTGTTTGTATAATATAGTTCAATTATTATATATATCACTAATAAAGCTATTCAATAAATGTAAAAATATACATAGTGTGATCATATAAGGATATATAATAAAAATATTTATTATAACTCATTTTTATTTTATTTAAATGTATTTTTTTCTGATGTAATTTTTTTTTTTGTTGAGCATGCGAAAAATTTTTATGTATCATCTTTAGTGTATATGTTATAGATGTAGTTTTTGTAATTTGTTTATTAAAATAAAAAAAAAAGATTTATGTAATTCGATAAAGTGTTAAAAAAAGGTCAAAACAAAAATTTTATTATTTCGCGATAACACACGAATAAATAAGTGCAACTGAGTTATGGGGTGAATTTATTATCAAACTATTAGACTTCTGTTGATAAAATAGCTAAGCCTATAGTTATATCAGAATACCAAAAAAAATCATGACAATCATAATTGATTTTGACTTTTCAAATTTTTTAATAAATAGTTAAAATCGATGTTAACCATTTCAACTATCTGAAATGGTCAAAATTAAATAATTTCAGTTTCATGTATAATTTTGGTTAGCTGATTTTTTATACCAGTTTGATTATCAGGTGAGTTATTAAGAAGTGATATGAGGGTTATTCTTCTTCGCTAGTTTATTACAGTTGAGAGGATCATCCTTTTGCGTTAGTTTAGTTGCTTAAATGGAAAAAAAATTGGATTAGTTTAAAATTAAAGAACGGAATATTCTGTATAATCCTCAATATGCGTTAAGCTATATATCTTATTCATGATTTTAGTTCAGTCAAGAATATAATAATAATCTCTTTTTCCATGTTCTACCAATACTAATTTGGTTAAATTTCTTTTCAACAACCATACTAATTAATGGTTTTTTTCCTATTATCTTCACACCAGGCAAGATATTCTTGATACAAAATAGCGCAATTTATTTGTTTGCAGATTATGTCTTTAGGCCATGATGAAATATAATCTATTATGAATTGATCAGTCTATATCGGAATCATTCAATTCATTAACTTGTTCTTTTAATCAATTTATTTCCAATTGCATATTTAAAATCTTGCGAGTTAATGTGAGTTCAATTTGCAATTCAGTATTTTCTATCTTAATGAATAATTTTCAGATTTCATAATTGCTATATTTATTTTAGAATAATTATTCTTTACGTATCTTCAATAATAAAGTATATCATTGTTGTCAGCTTTTTATTACTAATTTTTCGCGAATTCGCTATTCGTTTATTTTGCGTACTCGTTTCAGTAACTAGGATAACTAGAATGAAACTAGGATGGATTTTGATCTGTCCTAGGTAAAAATTTGAAAATTTTACTGAGGTTGTTACTAGGGATAACAATGGTATCGACTTTTAGGTTTTTAAGTTATTGATTATGATCTTCTATGCCCTAATAGTCCTAGTATCCCTAGTAAAAAATAAAGTTTTAGAAAAAATTCGAAACTTTTTCTATGCTACATATGTTTCATTTATGCGATCATTTTTTATGATATACGTGTGATATATGCGTAATATATATGGTAAAAAATAAAAAAAAAAGTTAAGAGAGGTGATTTTTTCTAGGGATTCTAGGGTCACTAGGGTCACCTGTCTAGAAGACTTTCCAGAAAAACTAAAAGCGTCAAAAAATCTACTTCCAATGTCCCAAGTAACGACCTCAGTAAAATTTTCAAATTTTTACCTAGGACAACTTACTAAGGCCAGCTTTATATTGTATCAAATTTTTTTATTTTATCGAGAGAATTTAAGCTCTACATTGAACGATATCCTTTACAGGATAAGGAATATGGGACTAGTTGTAGATAGTAACGAGACTATGTGTTGCGAGTGTATTTTTACAATCCTTCACATGGCGGTAAGTCTTCAAGAAGGTTTGATAATCACTCCCCAGATGAAAATAACTGGCGAAATTAATACTTGTTGTGTTGACTATGCAATCAAATAATCTTGGATGATTTGCTCGAAGAAATAATTTGCATAACCGAGGGCAAACAGAATCAAGTAACTATGGGTATCTGCTAAAACTTATTGCAATGTCTGCAATGTCGAAGTGCGTGTGATGTGGGTAATATTTTTGCTTTGTTTGTTCTTAGAGGCTAATTATTAGAAATTGCTAACTCCGTACTTCATTTAGATGAACTTAGATATGCTCAGGAGAAAGCGAAAGGCTGATGAGGCATTCGATCCCGATTATGAATACGTTTATGGTATTGTCGGTACTGAAGGCATCTATAGCATAGCAGAACTGAGTATCGAATTTCACGTACAGAGATGCTCTCAATGATGATACAGAATTGCGCAAGAATGTGAAGAGAGTTTTAGAGGTCATAGTAGGTTTATTAAAGGATAGAATAATAGGTAGTGATAAACATTTGACTAATAAGCGTCATGTAGAAGATATAATCAAGTAAAATAATCTAAAGTCACTAGCATATAAACGTTATGTATCACGGGCTAGTCTCGGACCTTTGTATTTATTTTTGCATGTGACTTCGTATTAAAAGTTTTTACAAAATGTCACGGTTATTTATACCTAAAAGTTATCGAGGTGTCATGTTTACCACGACACCAGGCCAACTTGCCATAGTTATAATGCGCAGTGTATTTTTTTTCGAAAGATCTGATTAATCGCGAAAATTTTAGCAATATAATAGATATAGGAGTGGATTATGTGTGTTTATTTCGAAACAATAGAAATATATAGCTGAAAAAATTAGCATTAGGTGTAGGAGTAGCAGAAAAGAACACTCATTTTAGGTGAGATAATTGCTCCTTTAAACGACTTTTACTACATTATTTTTTATTATATTATTAATTAGCGCCAGCTCCGAATTTATTAGCGATAAATACAATCATACAATGTTTATAACTTTACACAATAATTTGAATTGGATATTTGTTGACTATTTTTGTGTACCATTGAAATTATAATTTAATACAGAAATCAAAAAGTAATCCTATCATGCATGCTTCAACTTATTAAATTTCTCATTATCCAAGCCTTTCCTTTATATCATTTAGACTATTAAAGGGGCGTTCTATGCGTTTAAGACGTATATTAATTCTCTCATCTTCATTGAAGCCAAGAATTGTGAGTGACTCAATAGGTGCAGAATTGATATATATATTTTCGTTTGCTATGTAAATGTAAAAGAACATTAGCAGACATTATGTTTAAAAGGGAGTTTCAAATTACAAACATACCAGACGCAAATTGTGCCCGACTCGCATATGTATATCCATAAAACTTTTGAAAATTTTCAATAGATACTAATGCGCTATTTTGTTTATCAACTATAGATAGGTTGTTTTTCTGATCTGCATTCGTTAAGAATAATAAAGCCCAATCTTTCGTCTCATAGCTTTAATAACCTTATTATTATATACGAAAGAGATTTGTTAACCAACTATTTAAACAATGCATGTGCACTTAATATATGAAGCAGTATTGCTACCTTTGCATGCTCTTTATCGAATAAATCTTGGTCGATGACAACCTTAGTAGTAGTTGCTAATTTCTCTTGTTGAACTACGCAAATTTCAGATTTAGAACTTTCATCATTAAGAAACCAAGAGACATCCCAGGGAGGGCCAGGCGCATTAAGAAATACACAACCAATATATTCCTTGATATTATCATTCTTCAGTAAATCAAGGTCGATATATCCATTTCTTACTTCCGTCATATTTGCATATTTAACTTGATTATTCTCGTAAGTTTTAGTGACTAAATTATATTAGAATGGGATTTGAGTTTGATGTGATTTTTTATATTAAAAAAAAAAATCTGAAAACATAATACCTGGGTATCGATGTAGTAATTTGTACAATTTGTTATTTTTAGCTTTAGGTAAGTCAACTTCAACATCTGGAAAACTAAGGGAAAATTCCGCTCCCTTACAAAGGGTCTTCAACTTAATCTTCTCATATCCTATTAAACGAAAGAGATTGAGGCGTAATGCCCAGAATTTGGCATTAAAATCTTCGAAATTCTGCCAATTTATCGGCTCATCATATTTTAACATGGAATCCAAATACATCATCCCAGGGTCATTGGAGCTTTCAACGATTGCGCATACCCACACATAAGGTAAGCGAATAAGGTATTCTCTAGATTATTCCATTGGAACCAGGTTCACAACTCCTTTGAGCTAAGTTCCTCATATGTGATTGATCTTTTGTTGAGCATGATCCATCCTTTTTTTTAACCGAAAAACCCAATATGGCCTTTGCAAGAGTTATTGTCAACCAACATGAGTTTAGCTCAAGATGATATTTATTTACAATCCTATCTTTGAC